TGCAAATGAACAATCGTCTGGGCCTTACGCGATATAACACCGATCCTCTGCTGATGAGCTCCTGCCTCTGCAGTTCTGTCTGGACGTACTCGGGATGGGCCAAAATGATAGCCAGCCAAATGTAGTGGAGGGAATTTTCTTCGGACGTCTCTCCCACTGTAGGCAAAAAAAGCACAACGGCTGAGGAAGTGCGTGCGTGCAGCACCCACAAACGCCTACACACGCCCGTCTGGGCCCTTCTCCCTCTCCAACGAACTGCCTGGGACCACACCAAAAGCAAAGGCAGAGAGAGAAATGGTCCCTTCTGTTCCCAAGGCCATTCTACCTCTACACTGGGTAGGGAGGAGAAAGAGGCAGGTATAGTCCTCGAGGTACGACACAATTCAGCCCAACCTTTCTGTTGTTAAGTGAGACATTTGTTAAAGAGAGTTTTGCCCTCATTTTAGGGCATAAATGGCTGTAAAACGGGGGGCGGGGGGGAACTAACCTAATAACTGTCTTAGTTAACGTTGGAAATTTTGGACTCAGTCGTGGTTGTAAGAACCTGTACATTTAATGCGGTAACTGAGGATCAAGCGTTAATATCTTGAATCGTACACTGATAAAACAGGTTAGGCTTTCTAGATTAAGCAAAGACGGAGAGACACAGAGACATTCACAGACACACAAACCCACATTCCCCCACCCCAATTAACCAAGGTGAAACTAACCAAGCTCTGCACCATCCATAAATGAAGACTTTAAGTCTTCTTACTGGTCTGGCTAAGCAGCTAGTAGATCCAACTAAGCAGCTAGTAGGTTCAACTAAGCAACTAAGCAGTTAGATCTAAATAAGCAGCTAATAGATCCAGCTAAGCAGTTAGATCTAAATAAGCAGCTAGTAGATCCAGCTAAGCATCTAATAGATCCAGCTAAGCAGCTAGTAGATCCAGCTAAGCAGCCAGTAGATCTAGGTAAGCAACTAGTAATAATAATAATAAAGTTGGAAGGGACCTTGGAGGTCATCAAGTCCAACCCCCTGCTCAGGCAGGTAACCTTATACCATTTCGGACAAATGGCTGTCCAGTTTCTTCTTAAAAACTTCCGTGGATCCAGTTAAGCAGCTAGTAGATCCAGCTAAGCAGCCAGTAGATCCAGCTAAGCAGCTAGATCCAGCTAAGCAGTTAGATCCAGCTAAGCAGCTAGTAGCTCCAGCTAAGCAGCTAGTAGATTCAACTAAGCAGCTAGTAAATGCAGCTAACATATCTAGATAAAGCAGCTAGTAGATCCAGATAAGCAGCTAATAGAATTCAACATCACAGCCAGGTTAAAACACAGATTGCCTTCTTGAAATATACCAACTGTTATAGGTTTTTTTTGTGCGTTTTTTTTTTTACAGTGGCTTATAATCTTGTTTTTAAGTTTTGTTAGCTGTCCAGAGTCATGAATCTGAGCTGGGAATTCCTACAAATTGAATGAGGGAGGGAAGGAGGGAGGGGGCGAGGGATGCTCCCCTAAGGAAGCACCAGTCCTTACGGCTCTCTCTGGCTGTCCTGATGGTCAGGAACACGTTAAAAGAGTAGGCTGTATTCTTGTCCAGATAGATTGTATCCGGTAGATCATTATCCGGCATCAAGTTGTAAATTTTGGCATAGTTGGCCATGTCAACATAGACGCCCCCCAATGATTTCCAGTTGCTTGCCTTATAGTTAAAATATTCCTGGGTGGGGGAAAAAAAGGGAGAGGGAGGGAGAGGCCAACTAAGTTCCAGAAGGATTGATTGTATGGTTCACCTTTGCGTTCTTTTGTGGTCACGAAGCATAGGAGAACAGGAGAATTTAGCAGCCTCCCACGACAAGCCAACCCACAACTGCACTTTCGTTGCACGTTTTACTGTTTTCCCGTAATTCCAATTTTGTCGGGCTTGGAAAGAGGTTTAAGTAGCGCAAAAGCTGAGAAAGGATGTGCAGGGTTTTTGTTTCTGTGTTTTTTTCCTTACGGCCTCTTCTTTCTGGTTCTTCCACCAGCGCCAGGTGGGGTCGTGGACGGGGTCTGCATAAGACTGAGGAGACAAGATTAAATGATTAAGTGAACATGCAGTATGTCACCTATTCCAGCTCAGTCTATTATTGTTATGTAGGTGGCATATATCAACAGTACATTGGTTTTTAAGGGCTTCTATTTTTCCCCCTGATCATTTTTTTATTCTTCCTTTTGTTTCTTTTCACCCTGCAATCTAACACAGGTGGTCCTCGATTTACAACACTTCGTTTCGTGACCGTTTGAAGTTACACCGGCCTTGGGAAAAAAAGCGACTTATAACCATTCTTCGCACCACCGTTGGAGCATTCCCATAGCGACGTCGTCAAAATTCGGACCGTTGGCAACTGACTCATATTTATGACGGGGTCACGCGATCCCCTTTTGCGACCGTCCGGCGAGCCAAGTCAAGGAGGGAAGACCGGTTCCCTTTACAACCGTGTCACTAACTTATCCACTGCAGTGAGTCATTTCACAACTATGTCAAAAAAAAAAAGTTGTAATGTGGGGCAAAGCTCTCTAACGAATGTCTCACTGAAGAAGAGAAATGTTGGGCTGAACTGCGGTCGTTAAGTCGAGGACTACCTGTGTTTTACCCACACCCACACACCCCTTCTCTCTCTGTTTCTTTCCACCCAGCGGGGTTGTCAGAATGGGACGTGTCCCTTTTTCCAGAGACGTCCCACGATTTTCTCCCCAAAGGCTGCTGCAGTGAGCCTGGAGGCCAGGCCACGCGTCTCCCCAGCCACGGACGGCCCTTCCTGTGCCCGGAAAATCGAATTCGGTCCTCACTCTGTGATAGGAGGAGTGCAGCTGAAGCAACTGGTAGACCAGGCCCTGGTAAACGGTGAGCGACCTCTCATCGTGGAATCCGGATTTCTCCATGACGTCTGGCGGCGTGGCCCAGTAATGCTCCACTCGAGTAAAGCGCTGTGGGTGCGGCAGATCCAGCACGCGCAAGGCGGCGAAGGGGCAACGGTGGGTGAACCGGATGTAGTCTTTCCCGCTGGGGAGAGAGAAGCCGTGGCCCCCGTTTTGCAGGCCTTCCGGAGAGGAATGCTGCGGTAGGGGAAGCACCGTGACTGGCAGGGCGGAGGAGGGGTCAAGGGCAGAGCTAGTCTAGCATCACTGGGGAACCACAAAAGGACTAGAACCGACCTCAACCTCAGGGAGTTCCTGGGAGCCTGGTCTATCGGTTCCCAAGAGAAAGCTGCCCGACTGGGGAGATTCCCGTATTATACGCAGAATGTAATGGAGTAGTTAGTTGGAATTCTGCACCTGTGCCTCTAGTCCTGCCTTTGTCATGAAAACCAACTGGGTGACTTTAAGCCAATCACTAGGAGAAAATGAGTTCTAGTCCTGCCTTAGCCATGAAAACCAACTGGGTGGCTTTAGGCGAATCACTAGGAGACAGTGAGTTCTAGTCCTGCCTTAAGCGTGAAAGCCAGCTGGGTGATCTTGAGCCTGTTCCTTTCTCTCTCAGCCCCTCCCAACGTCAAAGAATCCCTGGAGGTAGCAAACCAGACAGCCTCAGGCCAGGCACTAGGGAGCAGGCCCACACCTTGAGTTGATCAAAGCTTCTTTATGGTTGCAATGCCTATTTACAAGAGCCTCGCCCGGACTGGCTGCATTCGCTCGGGAACGGTCAGAGAAAACTTCGGGCGCTCTAGGGGAGGTCTGGTCTGCCTGGCTTTCTAGCGTGCAAGGAGTCTAAACTCAACTCCCTCTTCACACACCCCTCCACCCCTAGCTACTACCCGAACACGGAAGGGATCCGGTAGGCAAAGGGGTGAAGAACAAGACCTGTTACGACACCCAACCACATTCCCCGGCTTCCCTTCCGCTTCCTCACGTGCTTTTTCTCTGCGGATCGTCCTGGTTTCTCAGGGTGGGGGTGTGGTGGGGAAACGGGGTCCACTCTAGACGAAATCTAACATCCAGCTGTACTTGCTGAGAAGGGCCAACGGAGGGAGGAGGCCCAGAAGCGGTCAAAGGAAGGAGAGCAGGGCCAGGGCTGTCCCCCCCCCCCCAGCAGCCTTCCTTCTCCCGTCCATTGGCTAGGCTCCGCGCTCTGCCGGGATGCTGGGAAAAAAGGCCGAGTCGCTGGTCTCCCACTCACTTGAACGTCATCTTTTTGTGAGGTGTGCTGATCAACAGATCGTAGGTCAGGATGGTATCTTGAGGGAAATCCCTCTTCAGGAACCTTTCTCTGCCACGACCAGCTGACACGTAAACCAGCTGCAAAAAAAAAAGAAAAAAAAAAAGGGAAAAAGGACGCTGATTTAACAACAGCAGAGGCAAAGACAAAAGCCGCAATCTCCACCTCGCTTCTGCCCTTACGGGCAGTCCTTGACCCACGAGAAATCTAACTCCTTCCGTTCCCCACCCTCCAGCCAGAGCTGAAGAAGCTTCTTGGAGGAGAAGCGAAACGTCTTCAGAGAAAAAAACAAGGCAGTCCAGTGGCCTCCTGAAAAAAACCACCTTTGGGATAACGATGACCTGGAGGACGGAGGATCTCCACGGACAAATCCATAAGGACCTTGCCAGACCCTGTGATGACCCAGGGCCCCGAACGGAGGCAAAGCACTTAGCTGGTCAGAAGCATTGTCTTTGTAAGCACTGCCAATGTTTACCCAACATATGCTGGCACAAGTTCAATAAAGCAGTCAACGGAGTTCAACAGTTCTTTAAAGCAAAACAGATAACAAAGGATGATCTTTTCCACGCCCAGCTTGCCTGTAACCTGCAAACTGCAAAACTGAGGACAGCAAGGAGAACTCAGCAGGAAACAAACATGATCCAAAATACAAAGAGTCCAGGTACAAGAGCTCACATCACAAGAGTTCACATTTATTCCCGGCAAATGCCCCACCCCACAGCGTCTCCTTAAATACCTACTCCCCAGGTGTGCCTTGTGGAGTGGGGCGTGACGCTCTCCTCCCGAGCAAGTGAGCCTGCCTCCGTTGTTCCCTCCTCCTCTCTGCTCTCCTTGCTCTGGGATCTGGTGGGGAGGGGCCTTGCTCCTCGCCTGAGCTCTGCCTTCCCTGTTCCAAACTTGAAGGGCCCTGGCCTGCCTCAGCCTGCTCCTCCCCACAGTCCTCTGAAGGCTCGGACGGAGCCATGACAGATCCCTTTGCTTCTGAGGAACTTCCCGGAGGCCCCAAATTGGCCTGTCTCACCCACCTCGTGCAAGCCTTCCTTGTTGTAGAATATGCTGACGATGGCTTGTTTGGCTGACTGGAGGTATCTCGTAGACCCTCTCATCGTTTGGAGAGTAACAAACTTATTCCAGGCATCCGAGGGATAAACCTTTCTAAATGCTATGCCGTTTTCATTCGACACCCAGAGCTATGATGAGAGAGAGAGAGAGAGAGAGAGAGAGAGAGAGAAAGGGGGGGGAGAGAATTCGTGCAAAACTATTTGGCAGGCACCTATCTGAGCTAGAACCCCAGATTTGGAGACTAAGGACATGATCCTGAAGGAAATCCCTCTTCGTCATTCTTTATTGGCCATGAATATCCTTGATATAAATCAGCTGCCAAAAAGAAAAAAAGAGAGCCCAGCGAAATGGACACCGGTTTAACAAATGGTAGATTCAAAGTCATAAGTCATCCAGTCCTTGGCTTGCAACCGTTCGTTTAGTGACCATTCTGATTCGTAAGGAATAATGGACTTACCTCCTCCCGGTCTGTCACAACAGCAAAAGGCCCTTTAAAAGACAGAACAAAATCCTTGATGGGAGAGTCACTTGGGAAATTGGAAAGGTAGATGTAATTCGTCATATCTTGGCTGGAAAGGAGAGCAAAAAAAAAAAGGGGGGGGGAGTGCCATCATTAGGTTGACCACTGGACCAACTTCACTTTGGAGAGCCAGTTTGGGGTAATGGTTAAAACGCTGGCCTAGAAATCAGATGACTGGGAGTTCTAGTTCCAGTTCTTGTCGGGCCTCAGAAGGTGAAAGCCGGCTGGGGGACTTTAGGCCAATCACCAGGAGTCGGTGAGTTCTAGTCCCGCCTTAGGCATGAAAGCCGCCTGGGAGACACTGGGCCAAGCACCAGGGGATGGTGAGTTCCAGTGCCGCCTTAGGCATGAAAGCTGCCTGGGTGACTGCTGAAAGAACCATATTGAAATGACTCTGAGAATAGAAGAGAATATAGAATAGAATAGAATAGAA